AAATGACATTAGATTACCCTGGTCTCTTCCCTTGTTGGACATCTGAGGGCAGACAGGTCACCAGCCACTGCTGGAGTCACCTTGAAACTCTGGGTGGAGTTCCTGCTGTGATTCAGAATGCAGGTGGGATAAACTTGTGCCCAAAATGCCCCCATCAGTACTCAAAGGACATGGACTTCATGGACTACACCCTTTCTCGAGCGGATTAGTCCAGACTATCTACCCAGTGAAGGCAAGCAGGCTAGTCTTCGTACATAAAAATTAAAAAGTGCTAGGACCTTCAAGATGAAAGGAGGAAATCACCCTGCTGGTCATTCGCACTTCAACATGGCTGTAAACCTGTCACCTCTCTCTGCAGAACCAAGCCTGCTTGAAGTACTAAGGGTGGGGGATACATTTTAAATATCCCTTTAAATTTCATATGAGACAATCAATTTTAAATAGTGGATATTTACTCTTAATATTTTCTATAAATAACAAACATTTTCTTGTGAGAGTATATATTTTATCAGCAGCACTGACTCCAGACACCCCTTTCAAGGGGGGTGTCCGGAAGCACCCGTGAGGGCGTTCCCAGTCAATAACAGCTTCTCTTTAAAAGGTGCACTTAGCATTTTGAAGAAAATGGAAATTTCAGGAAGTATTTTATTACCACACCATTTTTTTTTTAAGATAATCTTGGAATGACTGTCAACTTCAGTGGCTCTGCTTCCAGAGCTCGGCTTCCCGAGCCACTCTTGTTTCTGAGGTGGCTGCCCAGGTCCCTAGGTAAGGGCTTCAAAGAACTGGTGAACAAGGGCCAAAGCCATCAGGGTGTGATGTACTGACAATGGCCTGAAAGGGCCTGAAATGACAGAAAACGAGGGAGCTGCTGAAAACCATAATGCAACTTTGTTTTAGCACAATTCAAGGCTTTTATTTTATGAAAGACTCCAAGGCAAGCTCATCCTGACTAATGGAACTCGCACTCTGTGTTCATCTTCTGTCATCTTGCTGACAGCACTGCTTCTCCTGGACAGGGTCATCTTCAGATGGCAAGATTTTTACCAAGGGAAGGGACAGATGAAGCAGTCTTCACCTTAGAAGTCCAGTCTCTGTTCTGACACTCTCCGTGGCACCTGAGTGCCTACCAAGGGACATACTCCCTTGCTCCGCCCCTAATTTTCAACTACTTAGCCTAAGACTGCAGGCGCAAAATCCATCTTTTTGGAAGAGAGACACCATCTAAGAGTAATAAATAAAAGATGGTGTTAATGCCGCTTAGGAGTCGTCTCTTAATAAGCATCAGTTCAGACTAATTACTTCGATAAATCAACATGCGGATGAAAAGTTATTAGGGAATTACCAGGCTGCCCGCCACAAGTCCTCACGGAGATGCTGCCTGGCCTTCCAAGTGCAAGGCCAAGGACTGCCAAATGATTTTAATAAAAAGAAGCAGAGAAGAGAAAGTTACCTTCTAGTTCACACTTTTTCTCCGAGGGATAAGGTTTCACAAGTAAACAGTACTATCAATGAAGATTTAAGTTTGACTCGAGCCTAGTAAACTTAATGCCACTAGCTTTTTTGATGAGCAAACTGATTAATAATTGAACACATGAAGATGATCTACTCAGGATGGATTTAAACCACACGGCCATCAGAAAGCCTTTACCAGGCTGCTGACATTTTGTTGCACTGTGCAGCACAGTCTGAGGCCACAGCAGACGGGATCCACTGCATGGGAGCCTGTTTTCAATTTCACCCATCTTGTATCACACAACAACCTGACGACCTGAATCTGTTCTCTCCACACAAAAGACAGTGTCTATAGCCGGGTGGTGGTGGCACACGCCTTTAATCCCAACACTCGGGAGGCAGAGGCAGGCGGATCTCTGTGAGTTCGAGGCCAGCCTGGTCTACAAGAGCTAGTTCCAGGACAGGCGCCAAAGCCACAGAGAAACCCTGTCTCGAAAAACAAAAAAACAAAACAAAACAAAAACAAAACAAAACTAAACTAAAAGACAGTGTCTATCCACAAGTTTGGAATGCTCAAGTACCCAAGTCACAAACGCTGTTGCTACTAACTTCTCAGAGGCCTCCAGCTTAGTGGCAGAACCAGGCAAGGAGGAGTCGAATCCACAACCAGCCGGTGCCTCATGCCAGTGAGGTACTTAGCAGTCATTCCCAGCTACCACTACAAATATAAAAGGGCGGGGGAGGCTTGACTCCTGGACAATGACCCAAATACACAAGACACCACTTACCAGAGGAGATCTGATGGGACAGGAAAGACAAACAGCCTTGAGAGGATGGACGCAGACACGTCAGAGCTCCCAGGGGGATGTAAGTAGCAGCAGGCCCTGGAAGGTCGGGCAGGGAGAAAGGTAGACCACAAAGAGAACACTCCTTCCACAGGCCTCTGAAGCCTTTCACTCTCTTAGGAGCTGCCCTGGCCTGAAGAAGCGTCTGCAGACTTCATAAAAATCAGGGGTCTTGGAAAACCCTACACACCCCACGTCTTCCCATCCTCCTGTCTCCTCTGACTGTTGAATGCAGGGCAGTGCAACATGATCCACAGAACTATAGGAATCTGTGTGTATATGCCCATGTGTGTGCATATGCACATATGTGTGTGTGTGTGTAATGTGTGTGTGTGCTATGAGATAACCTTCTATATGCTGTAAGTTTTATTTCCAATGGTTAATGAAGGAGTTTCTTTGGTCTATAGCAAGGCAGAAAGAACAATGCTAGGTGGAAACGCCAAATTGAAAATACAGGGAGAAAGAAGGACAGAGTCGAGGGAAATATGAGCCAACTGCTCAAGAAGCAAGATGCCAGCAGACTGGTAAAAGCCACGTGGCAATGTATAGATTAATAGAAATGGGCTAATTTAAATGCAAGAGCTAGTTAGTAATAAGCCTGAACTATAGGCTAAGCAGTTTATAATTAATATTAAGCCTCTGAGTGATTATTTAGAAGTGGCAGAGGGACGGGCCAGGACAAAAAAAGAAATCTCCATTTACATGCATGTGTGCATATGCATATATGTATGTACATGTATGTGCACATATGTATGTATACATGTATACATGTATATTGTGTGGTTCTGGGAATCAAACCAAAGGGTTTTATACCACTGACTGACATCACACTCCCACCCTTTTTAGGTTTGGTTTTATTTTGTTTATATGTTTTCTAGAGACGTCGTCCAACTTGATCTTGAATCTGCAATCTCCCTGCCTTAGCTTCCAGGGTACTTGGATTATCGGTGTGTGTCATCATGTACAGCCTATAACGTATTTAAATTTAACATACCACACAAAATCCCCGAGACAATGCAAATACTAAATACCACACTATCATCTTCAACTGCAGTAAAAGTCTGAGGATCCCCAGAAAACAAGGGCTTTGATTAGCTCGCAAGTGTAATCTAGTAAGAGGAACTGCAGAAACCAGAGTCCTTATTCTCAACAACACGAAGGATACCAGTTAAGTGTTAAGGGAAGGTTCTCACCCTTAACACAAGGAGCTAACCACTGGGCCTCTCATTTTATTGTCTCAACACCCAGCTTAAAGCAAACTAACCAAGAAACTAAATACCCCAGCTGGCACCACCCACAATCCCAGCACCAGGGAGCTAAGGCAGAACATCCGCTCACTCCAGATCTGCCTGAAGGGCACAGTAAGTAAGACTTCATCTCTAAGAGACAAGGGCTCTGTGCTAACACCGCACGGATGATGCTCACAAAGCCTGTCGGAACCCCACGCATCCCTGGATGCTTCCAGAGTGAGGACATTCGGACACCAAACTTCTGGACCATCTCCCTGGCAACTAGTGGTGTTGGCTGAAGAGGTGTCACCTTCTTAGCACAGCCATCAATTCAAGGGCAAGAGGAGTAAGGTAGCAGTCCAAGGTCACACACAGGCAACTGAAAGAAGGGGAACATGACTGTCTCCTTTCTGGATCACATACCAGAGGATGTGGTAGGGGCGCTTGGGGCTTCAAGGCTCAACCCAAGGGAGGCCCAACAAGTCATCACACAGTCTCAACCTGGTGAGTGTGCAAGCCCGACTCCTGCAGACTAGCCAATCCTGGCCTTTCATTCTGTGCCACACCTCCTAACCACGCCATTCCCAAGAAGCAAGCACCCCAGTTTTTGGATCTCTATGCAACCACCGGCCACATCTAGAACACCCCCACCCACTCCCACCATGTTGTTACTGAACCTTTGTAACCAGCTTCAGTGACACTCCCCATGCTCCAGGCTGCACTGTCCCACCATGCTCTCCCATCTGGACCATCTCATCTGTCCCTTCTTTCCCAGGGTGGAAAGGGTGGGTGAGTGAAGCCAAGGAAGAACAGGCGAACACAACCAACCAGACTTGGAATTTTCCTGGACCAATGAGCCGAGTTAGGGGAGGCAGAGCTGGGCTCCTGAATGAAGAACTCCGGGCAACCCCAGGGAAGCCAATGACTTACCGTACCCACTTTGGCTACTTGGCTTTCAGTCTCTTCCACGGAACCCAGAGACCACCACAGAAAGTCAAAGAGGTCCCTCAATGAAGTTAGAGCCTGACATCCCCGGAGTTGAAAATGTGTTTAAGTAAGAATGCATTCAATCTACCTCACCTTTCTGAACATCACAGCTGACCTCAGCGTGCTCCAGACTTACATCGGCCCAGAAGTCGATGGAACCAGCTAGCACAAAGCCCGTTTTATAATAATCTATTAGTCAAATATTTGTGAAGCTGGTAATCCCAGCAGGAGGGCCACCTCAAGGTCAAGCCTGGGGCCATTTCAAGGTCAAGCCTGAACTACGCGGGAGGGCCCAGTAGATCAAAGCACTGGCTGTACAAGACTGGAGCTCAAAATTCAATCCCTGACACCCACGTAAAGGGCAGAGAAATGGCTCCTGCGAACTGTCTGGTGACCGCTACACGTTCACTGCGGCACACATGCCCCCACAGAGAATAAATAAAGGCAAAATAAAATAAGTAAGCACACATGTTAATGACCTTACATGTGTGCACACACACCACACGGAGATGGACGCCTTGTAGCGATGACAGGATCCAAACACACGGAGGCATTGACGGTCATAACTGGAGGCTGCAGCTCACTGCTGCATAGCCACAGGGAGAATCACATGACACCAAATTCCAAAAAGCTGCTACCAAACGACACCACCCCTCACCAGCACCAGGTGATCCTGGTAAGAGGGGGGCTTCTGGCAACTAGAATCCACATTAACGGGATATTTTTATTTTAAAATTTTTCGTGTACGTTGTCTGTGTGTTTGTACAACTTGCGGGAGTCAGTTCTCCCCTTGCATAACGTGGGTCTCAGAAATTGAATTCAAGTCGTCAGCCTTGGTAGCAAGCGCCATAACTGCTGGGCCAGTGTTAGGCTTCCTGAAGTTGTTTTGGGCTTAACTGGACGGCCTCTGCTTCCTCGTGCAGTGATGACTCAGTAAACAGCCGCAGCTCTGAAGCGTTTCCCGGGAGTCTGTGGGCACAACGGCTAAAGGTGTCAAACTTCTGAAACCAGAATTCAAATGTCCTTATGTGCCAACCGGGTAAGAGCCGGACACTGCTTCCCAACGGTGGAGAAACGGGTGACTCTCCAGCACCCCAACCGTGAGCACCTGCTGTAGGCTACATACGGGGATACTGGGCGATCACACCAGCCAACCTAAAGTCCACCTCCGTAGAGTCTAGCTTCACCCTTTCCTTCAGAGCGCTTACCACCGTCTGCCACCATCTTGCTCACTGGTGTGGTGAGCTTTATAGGCCTCCAGTGCCCACTATGGTGGCTCAAAACATACCAAGAGGGTAGGGACGGGCCAGACATGGCCCCTGTTGCCTCATGACCCTTAAACTTGGTGAGTGTACATATACACATATATAAACACGTGTGTATGTATGTGTACACATATATACGTAAATGTATGTATACACACTATAACATGCATATTCTGTGCATATAGTTGTATAATGTGCACCTTTTTATTCACGTGTGCATGCTTACATGTGTAAAGTGAACCTTTACACACAAATGTATACAGAAAGTGTATGAACTACCCAGAAAGTGTACACGGGACTCCTGGGCTGTTGTTGGCTGCCCCGGGGGAGGGGGAGAGGACGAGAAGGGGACTCAGGCGGACTCCATGCACTGACTCCACATGCATGCATTAGGCGCCTGGTGCATGCGGGGTCTCCGGTGGACAGTGTCCTGCCCTCAGGGCGCGTCCCTTCCGGCGCCGGGCGCTGAGTGACAGCTCCCGGGCCGGCTGCCCGCTTACCTCGGAACTTGAGCTCATGCTGTGGCTCGAGGCTCAGGACCTGCTCCACCTTCGCCATGGTCCTCCCCGTCGGGGGCGGCGGCGCGGGCGGGGGGCGGCGGC